TATTCCCAGAAAGATACTTACACGTCAATCTTATTCTTCAACAAATCATCATCTTCATCTTTCTCATCTTCATCTATCAATTCCTCTTCAGCCTCTTCCAGATCTGAGGATTCTTCCCCTTTTTCACTTCCTTCATGCTTACTTTCAGCATCACTATCTTGGTCTACCTGATCTAGATAATACTTTTGGCTGGAACTCATGCCAGGCTCAGTATCAATTACAAAAAGCCCTTCAGCATGCAGTGAACTGTTTTTTAAAGATTTGCTGCGGGAAGGAGTCCTCTCATCTGCCTCTTTATAACACAGATTCTCTTCAGCTGTATCGATGTCCGCCACATCACTATTTTCAGATTCATCACTTTCATCTTTGCTCAGAAACAACGCAATGGAAGCATTTCCACTCCTTGATCTTTCACTGCTGTGGGATACAGATTCAGCATATTCTCCTGTTTGGTCTTCACCACTGTCCACACCGATTTCAAGCATCCTGCATCTACCAACACTACCAGTTCTTTGTGCAAGAGCTGTGTCCTTTTGTGGGCTGCTCACTGCACTAGCTTGCCCACCCTTTCTTAATTTATCAGCATGGCTGAAAGACTGCTGTGCATCTGCCTCAGCACCTGCTCTTTTGCATTCTGGAATTTTTTTACTTTCATTTGGTGTTATTTGCCCTTGGGATTCTAAAAATTGTTCGGGACTCATGCAATCAGTCAAAGAAAGATCCATGCGCTCTAACTTCCCCTCTCTCACAAGTATTTTACTGTGTTCTTCTTTTATTTGGCCACATGCTTCCTCTGAATCATCTACCACAACAGACTGTGTATTTTTTATTGCTTTTTTTCCAGGCGATTCAGTGTCACTTAGTTTCATTTTTGTAAGACTGCTGGGTGTCGCATTGTTCAAATCCTCTTCTTTCACGTCTTCACTCTGGGTTGTATTGACAGATCTGGAAGAAAATTTGCTTTTAGGTGAATTGGGTTCTTTATTATCCTCAGCGACAGAGGAAGCATCTTCTGTGTCAGAGACAAGCTCCGCAGCAGGTCTAGAATCAGAAATTATTACTGGCTCAGATTTAACAGTGTCCTCAATTAAATTCTCATCTTCTGAAACAATTCTGTTTCCTTTCTCAGTCTGCTTAGTATTTTCTGCTTGTGATTTCATTTGCATGCTCCTAGTAATTCGTTTGGTAGCAATGGATGGTTCCATATGAGAACTTAAACAGCATGACTCTGCATCAGAAATATCTTCACTCTGGGCTTCACAAACTGCATCTGGCTGCAATTTCTTTTTGCTTTGCCTGCTTCTTGTAGTTCTGGTAACATTAGGCATCTGGACACCAGAAACAGCAGAGGCACAAGACTCGGCTTCAGAGGTATCATCTTCATCCAGAATCCTGCCTAACTTATTTAGAAAAGCTGTTTTGTCATGTCTTTTTTTGTCAGGAGAATCCGGTTGATAAGGAACTACAATTTGTCGTCTTCTTGTTACTCTTACAAACAAAGGTGTCTGAAGACCAGACACAGCAGAGCAGTTCGATTCTGTTTCTGACACATCCCCATCAGCTTGTGGTTCAGCAACTGATTGTGCTGAACGAACAGTTGTGTTCTCATTTCTAGTAATTTGCACCTCTACGCTATCACTGACATCTGACTTTGTTTCTGCATGTTCCACCTCTTCGAACTGAGATTCCTGAATTACCTCTGGCTTATGAATTGATTTAGTTCTTCTTCTAGTCACCCTCACAGGCACAGGAGTACTAACTTGAGCAGATGCCATCTAGAAAAGGAGAGAAAAAAAGTGTGCTATTGACAGATAAAATAACCCCATAAAAAGGATGCTATACAAATCGCTAACAATTTTTAAACAAATCTACTCAAGCTGACAACATATTACATGTCTCTGTGCAGCCCCATCTATGTGGAAGAAGTGTTAACAAACCATCCCTTGCTTATCTCTTTGTCTACTGTCTTTTGGTCGAGGCAGGAGAAAAAATACATGCAGCCAGTAAGAAATACAAACAAACACATTAAGAAATAGAATCAAATATCTTCTAATTCCAAAAAGTTCTGGCAAGCTGTCATGGGAAGCAAATCCAGAAGCAATGTTCAGAAACATTCAAAGATTTGCTAAACTATAAAACACTGAAGCCTAGCAACTAGCAGAATGTACCCCAAAATGGTTTCCATAACCAATTTTAACAGCTTTAGGAATAGACTGGCCTCGCTGCAACTGCAACACTAGGTATAATCTGCTGCTTTAACGATGCCTCTAAGTTACCTGGAAGGCAATTCAAGATTTTGTAAAGAAAAAACGCTCCGCCGCAGCAGGATCTTCCCAAAACACAGAACAATGTTGGATCAACATAAACCATGCTACCTGCACTACCAGTATTTATGTGACAGCGTTTTCATGACTCGTGGAAAAGCCACAGAGAAATGCTAAAATAACTGCAGTGCAAAGGGGAAAAAAAAAAAATCCTAACTTTTAACTCTCAACGTTAAACGGCCGAACAACCTACAACGGCCGCAGGCCCCGACAAGGGAAGGCGGTGGCACGGCCAGCACCAGCGGGGCGGCGCGGCGGGGCGGGGCAGCCCGGTCCCCCA